CCAATGTAATAAATATAAATTATCATAAGTGTAAGTTGATCAAGAAAGAGAAGTTTGTGATATCTAAGTTGTTTTTTGAAAACAGAGCATTTAGAATTAGAAGAGAGAAGAGATTTCAGAAAGATAGTTCTATTATATAAAGTATAAGAAATGTTATAAGTTTGATTGATTAAGAATGTCCAACTAATATGTTTAATAAGCTGTATAATTTTAAAGTTTGTGGTTAGCTGATTAGAACCATTAATAATTAAGTTGGAATGAAAGAAAATACTAATTGAAGACCAAAGATTGTTTTGTAATTATTGAATTCAAATATGAGTAGATATGCCTAATAGGTCAGGATTATTAAGTCATTTGAGAAGGTTAGGAATATGATGTTGCAGTTGAATGTCCCAAATGTGTTTAATGTTGTAAATTTGTAAATGTAAAAGAGTACTAGAAGGTATTGTGTGACAAAGTTTGGCTTTAAGTTTGACAAGGCCAATGTGCTAAATAAAAATTTTGTTACAATTTGATTAATTGATTACAATATTTTGAAGTCAGTATTCAAAAGTAGAAATGATTACTGTATTAATAATATAGCGAACATATGAGTCAGTTATACATTTGGTTTTAGTGATTTAAATAAGTTAAGAAGATTTAGAGATAAGTAGTTTTGTTTGTTTAGATTGTTTATTGTTTAAAGTGAATCAACAACCTAAAAATTTAAAAGATATTTTAAAAGAGTATAGAAAAAGAAAATGGTTATTATAAAAAATAAATGTATAATAAGGTGAAAGATTGTTAGTAACCAGAATGGATTTTGAAGGATTAACTTGAATATTGGCTATAGCATAAAAGAATTCAGCTATAGATAACATGTGTGATAGTTCAGATTGTAATAAAGCAATTCAAAGAGTATTATCTATATATACCAAAACAATGCATTTTTTTTGTAATAAGTTAAATGTTTGAAGTTTGAGGTTAATAGTCCAAAAGGATTGTAATTTGTAACTAGGAATGTTTAAGTATATATAGGAGATAAGTGAATCATAGTAAATACACCATAACAAATAAGTAATAGTTTCACCTTGGTTGATACTATTATAAACTGAATAGGATGAAGTTAAGCTAAGATTAGTTATGACTTGATTGTGATGATCACTAAGAAGGTTAGAAAGAATGTTAATAGTAAATAAAGGAAATGAAAGATGAGAGAATACATATTTAAAGAGAATAAAGTTGATAGAGTTATAAGCTTTACTTATATCTTGTAAGAGTAACCAAATATTCTTATAGTTGCAAGAAGCATCTTTAATAAAGTTATTAAGAATATGGATAGGAATTAAAATACTGTTGTTGGAAAGAGCAACATAATTAAAAGATGAGAGAATTGAATAGATTAAAAATACAGAACTAAGTTAATTAATAAGAATTTTGATATAGAGCTTGTGAATATGTTTGACAAGACTAATAGGTTGAGTAAGATTAAGGTTACCATTAAAGGTGTTTCATTTAGAGATAGGATAAATACAACTATGTTTCTATTGTTTAAGAATTCTGTTTTCAAGAAGGTAATGGTTAAAGAGAGCAATAATAGCAGAACTGCATTGAGGACTAATATGTTTAAACATTTCATAACTAATGCCTATAGGACTATAGGCTTTGTTATTAGGTAGTTGGAAGAGAGTTCTTAGAAATTCATCATTAGTAATAGGAGAATTAAGAAGATGATACCAAGTTGAATTAATGTAAGAAAATGGAAGGTAATATTGTTGCCAAAAATTATTAAAGAGAATGTGATTAATAGGTTTGTATATAGTCTAATTTTGAAAATGAAATCAAATATGTTGTTTAATGATTAGTGGATCAGTAATAAGCCTTGAAGAAGTTTTATATTAATAAAGTGAACAGGTTAGTGGTAATGATTAAGAATGCTGTTGATAGCCTGAGTAGGATGTGTTGTAAAATTAACACATCTTTTGTCAGTAGATTGGTTAATTTGTTGTCGAAATAAAAGAGAGTTTTCAAGATGACAAGCATGAAAAAGTTGTTTCCAAATCAAGTAAACATGTTGGAGCCAAGTTTGAATAAAGATTGAATCAGTAGAGATAAATAATTGAAGATCATATTGTGACTATTTATTAATTAAAGAGATGGTTTGATTAATATAGAGGTATTAGAATATTGGATAAGTTTTTTAATAAGTTTAATAATGTGACCAAGTTTTTTGAGTGATAGATGTAATAGAGTACTGTGAGATGAGTATTGATGGTTGTAGCTACATTTGTGAAAGACTTTGTTAGATAGCAGAGTAAATAATAGAGTATTGAATTTTGTCCAAGTAATTTCAATTCTCTCATAAGTTTCATTGTTGATAAGAGTTTTGTATAATAGGAGTTGTTGAGATAAGATATCTGCAAAAGATTTCCAGTTCTTTGTAGACATGGCTTTGTAGTTAAAAATACAATGGTTAATATCAGTATATTTATGTATGGGTTTGCTATAAACATGTGAAAATGTTCAGATAAAAGAAAGAATTAAATGATCACTAGAGGTAGAAGTTTGGTTGTTATCAAGATTGTAAGAAAGAAGGAATTGTATATTGAATTGGTCAGTCCAGATGTAGTCGATATGATTATTGCATGTATTGTTAAACCAGATAGAGTATTTGTTGTTAAAATGAGCTCCAATATTATACATATTAGAATTATTAAAAAAGTTAATAAGTTTGTATTTAGAAGAGAAACTATGAGTATTATTCTGTGTATTAAAGTCACTTAGAATAATAGGATAGATATGAAGTTGAGAAGCTTGTTAGATCCAGTTAATTACTGTATTTTGGGTTTGGTTATAAATAAAAGTATCAGTTGATGACAGATATATTGAAATAATATGAAGCTTGATATTATTTTGAAAGAAGATATCAAGTACTATAGCATCTTCAGGATGAGTATAAACACTATGAACATGAGATTTAAGATGATTGCAAATCATAATAACAATACCTTTCATAGAGATAAAGAAGTTAATCCAATAGTAAGTAAAAAAATTATTATTGCAGAAAAGAAGGTTAGATTTGTCAGAAATTTTTGATTCTGTGATACTTGTAATGGATATATTATGATTAAGATAATAATTCTGCTATGCTTTTTTCTTATTAGGATTATTAAAGTCTTTAATATTATATATAGCAATAGTTAGATTGAGATAATAAAGAGTTGGAGTTGATGAAAGTGAAAGAGAGTTACAATTAGAAGTTGAAGAATGGTTATCAAAAAATAAATCAGATGAGATAGAAGTAACATTAAAAGAATTAGATCTAATAAAAAGATTATAGAATATAGGAAGAAGATATGGAGTAATTACAATATGATCTGGTAAAAAAATATCATTAGCAAGATATATATAGATTTCATTATAAGATGAATTAATAGAAAATGTAATACAAGATATTGTTTTGTTATTATTATAATTGTCAATATATTTAATTAAAGTTTGAATAATTTGATCATGAGAAAGGAATGATAGATTATAATAAAGAAGAAATTTGTTGAAACATGTATAAAGATCATAGAGGATTAAAGATATTGTAAATGATCTTTCAAAATTGTCTTCTACAGGGTTGATCACCATATGCTTGGCTCTTACAGCTGTGCAAGATACCTACTATATGAAAATTGCATTAGATTGTTAAAGCAATATACTTATATTATTTTTATATCAAAAAACTGAAATATAAATTCTGTCATATTCAATAATATAGGCATAAATTACAAGTAAAAAATTAGATTTCATTTATATTTGCAAAAAAATTATGTGTATTGTAAACAATAATTTTTGTTTTGCTTGTATTAACATCTTTATATATTTTGAAAAAATTTACACTTCATAAACTAAATTAGCACAAATGTATATATCTCCTTCTGTTTATTCCAAATAATAATTTTTACTATAATATGAATATAAGCCAATATATTTTCAAACTTCAGATGTGCACAGAGATTTGCTATAAAGACCATTATGTCTTAAGATTTAAGAGCATACTTTATTAAACTCAAAGTGTATTAATTCACAATTTAAATTTTTGATATTTTTCTAACATTTTTCTTTGTTAATTTCGAACATTTCAATAGAACAGTCAGAAGAATAAGTTGCTAAACTCTTCTCATAATCAAGCATCTGCTAAGTGTCAAAATGAACAGTTAAATATTACTGTTTTCTTCCTGTTGAGAGTTTTCATTTATCACCATAGTGATGTGTTGCCAACCAATAAGATTAATGATTTTATAACACAGCTGCATATTGCTCAAACTTCTACATATAAGATTATTAGATTTGCGATATATCGCTATAGCAATAAACTATAAATTGCGATGTGAACATTTTTTATATATTATATAATAATGTATGATGTCAATCACATGATGAGGGACTAGTGATGCCACAGCGATGAATTACTATATCCATTTAATTAATTTTTAAAAATTAATTACATTTTTAAATTTATATATTTATAGTTTTGAATTATAGGTTTTATAATTTTAGGTTTCGGATTATAAGTTTCGGGTTTCGTAGTTTCGAAAAGTTTTTCTAAAATCCGAAACTAGTTTCGGGTAGGTTTCGTTTCAGATAACAAGTAGTGTCAGTGAAATGAAATTATCAATAAAATGAAATTTTCAGTGAATTGTATTGTCAGTGAATAATTGTGAACTGATTTTCGGTGAAATGAACTGGAACCGAATATAAGAATTAAAAAGCTGCAAAATGTTATAGCAAGAACTGACGACAAAACAAATAAACAATATATTTGTAAAAATAATAAAAATAATAATAAAGATCAATTAACAAGACTAAGAAAAATAGAAATAAGCATCAGAGCAGAGAATGATTTATAGATTGTATATAAAATTTTTATTACATTAGGTTTATATATCATATTTAATAAGACGAACAATATCTATTATCTAATTTGTCTTAATTTCTATATAGACTTTGTCAACCAAATCATCCTGAAAGCTCTATTGGCCAAAACTTCTTTTTGATCTTAAGGGCCATTCCATCCTTCGGTCGAAATGACGTCGCGCGGCACGTGACTGTCTGTTTACAGCGGAAAATTTTAACACGTATATATTATCTATAACGGCCAATGACATTGACTATAGTGCATCCATAACGGATTAGACTTAAAAGCCTTAGAGATATTCTTATCCGCTTGATCAATTAACCACTTGCTTAGGTACATGCAAGGCTCACTCACTGTAGCGCCCCACACCCAAACCTTAACTGCATCATAGAAATCTTCACTCGAATTTTTAATTGGCATTATAACAAATGGACCTCTTGGACGAGACGCTTTTAGTGACCATGCTGATGAAACGAAACCGAATGATGAACCATATGTAATCACCAAGTCATCACATAAACTAAGCAATTTCATATCGATAAGAGCACTTTCTTCTGTACCAGTGTTCGTATTATGAGGGTTTCTCACATCCATATTATTATTAGTATGAACTACCTTAATAGAATTATTCTTATAAGTAGTTATTTCATGAAGTAAATTTACTAATTTATCACGACCATTATTACTATCTGCAGCCACAAAGATAGTTATATTCATGTTTTTCATTCCAAACATCAACAATTTCACTGCTTCACTGAAATGTTCTACAGGTGTTTTTAATCCATGTGTTTTCTTTTTCTCCCTTAAATGAATTCCTATATTATAATTTGTAAAATTATTGACCGCAAAAGTCTCTACTTGTTTACTAAGAGTTTGGTTCAATCTTAATAAGTTTAGG